AAGCACCAAGACAGTCTTCCAGAAGACCAGCCTGTTGTAAGGAAATGAGTTCCCACCCTTCAAGTTGGCAGGCTTGGTACCACAGGTCTGCTTGTAATGCTAAATGAGGAAGCTAGAGCAGATACACCGACAGGACAGCAGCTCCTCTCACTGTAGTTCCCTTGGTGGAAAGGCAGATCACTCTCTCTCTCTCTCTCTCTCTCTCTCCAGATTTCTAGCCCTCAGTATTTTGTAAAGGAACCGCACAGCAAATAAAGGTGATATTTATAAATCACTTCTGATATTTATCATATTATAATGAATGAAAGTATGTCTTGTGTGTCTCAAGTGCTATGAATATAAATACTTTCCTTCAAGGAACTTTCTTTTCCTTCCTTCCTTCCTTCCTCCCTTCCTTCCTGCCTTCCTTCCTTCCTTCATTCCTTCCTTCCTTCCTTCCTTCCTCCCTTCCTTTACTTAGACTGGGTCTCCCTAGACACCTGCCTCAGCCCAGGCTGTAAGGGCAGTGGCCAGCTTACAGGCCTTATCCCACTGCTAATCAGCAGGGAAACTTTAACCTGTTCCATTTCCAACCTGTACCAGTTTGGCCCTCCTTAGGCAGCATCCCCTTCTCCACACCCCTCATCCCAGGCTCACCATCTATGTCCTAGACTTTGTGCAGATACCCTATCAGCTTTAGCCCTATAAAAGCTGAAAATTACTAAACTCAGATAATCCGCCACCCTCAGCCTCCCCAGTAATAGGAATAGGCATATAGGCATGTGTCATCACACCCAATCTTTTTCTCCCCAACAGGTAGACTCACTTTAGCATAGAAAGGATACCCAACAAGAATACTGCAGTAGTATATCCTACAGCAGGGAAGATGTGGGACTCCATCGCCACGCAGGAAGTCTTCTGGCAAGGCGTGGAGATGTATAAGGACTTGGGACATCGGGGTAATTTTTTTTAAGGGAGAGAATGCACATATGGGGAAGTGATGCCCAAGGAAGGGAGTTATGGCATGGGAAGTGATCAGCTTCCTATGGAACACTGTGAGTCAACTGACCTTTCAAGAAGTAATAGTCATAGTGATGCTATTACAGTTCTCGGAGTGAGATGTATGGAGGAAAGGTGGTTAGAAAGGAGGCTGTGGATTCCCAGGAAGGGCTCCGTTGTAGCTCAGCTGCTCCTACACATTATCTCTGGGGGTTTAATTATCATACAGCATACTTTTGGAAGATATAAATTGTGATCTGTAGTTGGATAGATGGTCTTTGAGTCGGTCCCCCACGACATATATCTCGGACCGATACCATAGGCTGACAACGAATTGGACATGGAATTGAAAAGGAGGAAGACAGTAGTCCGGATTGCCTTTGGGAAACTAAGCAGCACAGGAGTGAACTGAATGGAGTCAATTGGAGAAACTACACATTGAAATTCTAGATGTACCACGATGAGTTTAGTGTATGATGGGGACTCAAGTTAGATGATTTGTGTGGTCCTATCTAACTTCATGGAATCTCAGACCCAACATCTCCCATTGAAAACATAGGGATGATTATACCCAACTCAGACTAAGCAATCTCCAATAAAAGAAGGGAATAGTGTACTAGTTAAAATACTTGCAAGTCCATTTATAGCTTGTAGTTGCTTTCACATATTAAACATCAATTTTACTTTAGTAACACAGAAAGCTGAGTCTTCTGAATACTGTTGGGACTAATGATTACAGTGCTGTAATGCTCTGTTACCATCCAAAGCTTCGATGGCTCCCTATCACCTACAATATAAAGTTCCAATGACTTAGCATGGCATACAAGTCCTCCCATAGTCTGTCCCCAACCTACCTTTCTAACTTCACTGAAAATTTCTGTCCTACATGAATCCTTTGCTCCGATCATATTATTTGTATTTATGAACCATTTCTTCCATGTACCTGACACATTTCCACTTTCATATTTTTGATTGTACCATTCTTCTCGCCAGAAATGTGCAACATTGCCCTTCCCATCTCAATGCTGTATAGCCTTCAAGGTCTGGCATCCTCTTTGAAGTTTTCCCTGACAACCTCATCCCATAGCAACACGTCCCTTCTTTGAACTTCTAATGCTATCTGTACTATCCATTTGGTACTTACTTTATACAGCCTTATAATGTTAGATATCATTTTTTATGTGTGTACCTTCTGCCTCTCTAATTGGTCTAATGCTCCTTGAGGGCAGATACATTATTGTTATGGTCGCTGGAACATAAGAAGTGCTTAATGAACACTTCTTGATTTGGTTACTTTCTACCCTACTTAAAATTCTTAGTGGCTCTTTACCATCTTCCAAATAAATTCAAATTCTTCTCTGGCATTCAAGGCCCTCCCCAACTATCTTTCCAAATACCTTTCCACCCTACATTTCCAGACCTTTTATGATATACCACTACCCTCCCCACCCCCTCTTCCCCCACCACACCCCTTGCATTCTTATGCTGTAGCCTGGCTGGACAGCTCTCTGCCTGCTCTCTCTTCTCCCAATATGCATTGAATTCTCTTACCATTATGTCTTTTCTCTGTCTATTTTTCTGCCTCTTTTTTTTGTAATTTTTGTTTATCTATTTTTTAAAATTTTTTTTCCATATGCTTTTGAGTTGAAAATTTTTTCTCCCTTCCTCCCCCTCCCCAAGACGGCGCACAATCTGACATAGGCTTTACATTTACATACCCATTAAACATATTTTCACATTAGTGAAGTTGTAAGTGAAAATTAAAACCAATAGGAGGAACCATCAGAAAGGTGAAACAAAACTCAACTGAAGGTAAAAATAAGTGAGAGCGATTCGACTTCCATAGTTCTTTCTTTGGATGTGGACAGCATTTTCCATCCCGAGGCCTCTGGAGACGTCTTAGATCCTTGTAATGCTGAGAAGGGTTCAGTTTAACATTCTTAGTTATTGCATAACGTGGCTGCTATTGTATACAAAGTCCTCTTGGTTCTACTCACTTCACTCAACATCAAACCATATAAGTCTTCCCAGGTTTTTCTGAAGTCAGCCTGTTCATCATTTCTTATAGAACAATAGTATTCCATTACATTCATATACCACAACCTGCTCAGCCATTCCCCAGTTGATGGGCATCCTCTCAATTTCCAATTCTTTGCCACCACAAAAAGAGCTGCTATGAATATTTTTGTACATATGGGTCTTTTCTGCCTCTTTTCACTTGTTGAACACACATCCTTCTTTTTAAAGCCAACTCAAGAGCTATCACCATCAGAAAAGTTTTTCCTGATTCTCCAGGTACTCCATATGACATTTTGTAACTATTCATCCTACTTACATACTATGAGTGTATTAGAGCTATCTATCTTGCCCTCTCATCACCCTACTAGATGATCAATTCCTTAATGGCAGAGACCATGTCTAATTCAAGTTTTGTAGCTCCTCTGGTGCCCAGCACAGTTCTCTGTACCCAGCAGGCACTCAGTATTTGTTGTCTTTGTATGCCTCTAAACAGTGAATATAGAGCTTAGCATGGAGTGTGCACTAAATCAGCATTTGTCAGTTTTTATGTACTTGACAGGCAGCTTGACACAATGTATATAGAGCAAGCCAGCCTTCAAGGCCTGACTCTGACACATACTACCTGTGTGACCACGGGCCTGTCATGTATTGTCTTAGTCCTTCCAGGCAACATTCTGACAGTATAAATCACAGAGGATAGACTGTCTCCCTAGGCCACTAATTCATTCCCTATTCTCCTTGTCTCTTAGAATCCTAATTTTCTTTCCAAATTCAGATCAAACATCACCTCCTACCAGAGACCTTTCCCTATACCATCAGCTACCAATCCTGACCCTGCCCTAAAATTTGCTTTTCACTTTTGTTGTTTTTATTTATATGTATATGTGGTGTCTCTTTCAATAGCATATAAACTCAAGAGTAGAGATTAAAAATCCACCCTTTCTTTTAAATCCAACTCAGAAGCGATCTCCATCAGAAAATGGTGTCCCATAATACATTTTATGACTATTTAGTGTACTTGTATAATATAGGTGTAATAGAACTATCCTTCTTGCCCTCTTATCACCCTACTAGATTATCAATTATTTAAATGGCAGGGACCGAGTCTGATTTAAGTTTTGTGTTTACTAAATGCTTGGTGATTGGTTAAAAAGTTGACAATCTGGATAAGTGAAGAAAATTTCTACACAGAGTTCCCAAAACTGAAAAAAATCACAAGTCCATATCATCACTCGCCCCCACCACAAATTTTTAATATACTCTGTACTTCAATTAGCAACTACAGATTCAGTGCTTTTTTCAATAAGTTTTCATGAAGGTTTTATTTTTTTCATTGTTCACAAAAATGAGATTGCCTAATTATTTGATAGACATTGAGGTGTTAATTGGAGTTATTATGGAAATACAAAAACATGAGCAGCTGTTTGCTTTGTAAAGCTCAGCTCTGTGGCTCAAACCTGTTAATGGTCATCAGGATTTTCAAAAGACCAAGCTACTGAGATTCCAGCTAGCCTCAATCACATCAGTATTCTTCAAAAAGAGGTTATTATTAATAATTTTTTTAAAACCCTGTGATATCATCTGAACGCTGAGCATTGACTGGTAGCAATCATAAATAAGTAGAGAGGTGCAGAAGTAAGACACGTAATTGAAAGCTCTGTTTTATTGCATCTAAAATGAGAGAGAGATAGTGAATTAGTTCAGAAAACTCTAATTAGAAGGATTGTTAGTTATATTTCTAGTTATATGTGTTAGAATGCTAGTTCTATCTATTTCTAGTGAGCCTGGCATATGGACAGCAACACCCCACTCCCTCCCACTCCCTGGACAGTATCCCTCTCCTCTCCTCCTACCCCCTTCCCTTTGGGGATTGTTCAGGAACTTAATAGAGAACTTGAGTGTGCTCTTCAAAGCCAATTCTTGTGATGTGAGACCCGACAGGAAATGTGACCTCATTCTGCCTCCCTGCTTTCTGATTGCTTAGACTGTTTTTGAAAGGAAACAAGCAGGTCAGAGAACTGCCTTCCTTTCCCAAGACCTACAAGCTGTTCTGTCCGAGGAAGCAGTTGAGGGAACAATGTTACAGCCCAAAGAGAAGCGTTTGGGGATGGCAGAACTATAGTGTATGTATGCATGTATGTGTGTGTGCCTGTGCATGTGTATGTGTATGTGTGGGCATGCATGACTGCCTCTCTGTGTGTGTGTGTGTGTGTGTGTGTGTGTGTGTGTGTGTGTGTGTGTGTGTGTGTTTGCTTCTTTTAATAGGGGAGAAGAGTACGCTCATCTTGCTTGCGTCGGCACCTGTTGACATTCTGATGCTGTTTTTTCAGCAAAGCAGCAAATTCTAAGATTTCTCCCCTGACTGTCAGATCTGGGAAGCCTTGAACTGCAGTCAATCTTTTGACATTGTCAATGGAAAGAAGAGCCTCGGGATCCCCTTCAGCCTTGCAACGTATGAACCAATTCTTTTTTAGAGGCAGACTAGTCCTTTGAGGAACCTGTTAGATCAGATTTTTTTTTTGCTTAAATAGATTTAGAAAAGAAGACTAAATGGTTACCAATTCCAGATCAAATGTGTTTTAGTATAACTGTACGTGACTACAGAAATGTAGTGTTTGGAGCAGTTTGCTTGCTAGCTACTAGATGAGTTGTTACCTTAAAATTCAACTTAGTTATTAGTGAGGAAAATATTAAAATGCATCAGTGTGAATAGTGCATGCTTAGAACTACCCTGATCCCAAACCAAGATGATAGCTTTATTTGTATATGCAGCATCTCAAACTAATCAATTTCTGATTTTAATTACAAATATGTTAAAGGAATTTCAGGGGGTTACTCTTCAAGTTAATTAGTAGATTGTGTTTATATTCCTTGACTTGCTTTGCTGAAAGGAGAAAACTTTTAAGTGCTATATAAATGTGAGTAAAGCATTATGTAAATGTTTGTTCTTACTATTATTGTTGTTTTTAAAACTTTCTGCTACTGTGGACTTTGTTTGAGTTCTCATATTGCAGTCATACACACAAAAATAAACTAATGCTACTCTTACATTATTGCATTGAGAGGTAGGGTAGCAGAATGAATAGAGAGCTGGCCTCAGGGTGAGGAAATCCTGGGTTCAAATTCTGCCCCTGATGCAGATTACCTATGTGACCCTGAGCAAGTCACTTAATCTCTGAGTGTGGCAGACAATTCTGTAAAATGATAAGATGCAACTAAATTGACAATCTGCACTGTTAGATCAAGTTTTTCAGTGAGAAACTTCATATACTTGAAGTCACAGATACTGGAAGACCTAGGTTCAGATCTCACCTCTGGTATTTATTACTAGCTGTGTGGGCCCTGGGCAAGTACTTAGCCTTGTTTGCCTCAGTTTCCTCGTCTGTAAAATGAGCTGAAGAAGGAAAGAGCAAACTACTCCAGCATCTCTGCCAAGAAAACCCCAAATGGGGTCACGAGGAGTCGGACAAGACTGAAATGAATGAATGAGGCAAGTCCCTTAAACTCTAGATGCCCCAGTCATTTCCACAGGACGTATATAGCACTATGGAATGCTGGGTTTGTAGTCAGATGACCTGTGGTCGAATCTTGCTTATTTTCTTTGTGTTGGGCAAACTATTTTCATCTCTCTAAGTCTCAGTTCTTCTTCTTTAAAATGGGGAAATTGGACTAGATCACCTTTAAGGATTCATTCAGCTTGAAACCTGTGATCTAATAAGTCATAGGACTGTAGTCTGCATTAGTTGAGAGACTGTCTGCACCAGAAGTTCTTTGTATGGATTAAATCACAGTTGTTTTAAAAATTCCTGTGTGCTATATTAAAACAAGAATAATAAATGAACATATAGATATCGTCACACTTTCTCATATGCACATATATATGCATGCATATATATGTTATATACATGTGCACATATGTATATATACACAGTCTATGTGTGTGTATAAAACACACATGTATGGCATAATGAGTAAAGGGCTGGTCTCCAAGTTCATGGCCTTGGTTCAAGTCTTGCTTATGTTACATACTAGTTTTGTGACCATGGGTAACTTTGTTACCCTATCTGTGTTCTCTGACAGTTCTCAAAGACCAAGTTACAGTAGGGTCTGCCCACATCGAGATTTTTCCACTGGTTTTTGACAAAAATCACAGTTCTGAGCAAAAAAAAAATTTTAAGAATCTAAAACTGCATATGTATAGTACTTTAGAGTTTACAAAGAATTTTCTTCACAAAAACTCTGAATTTGCTAGTATAACTATTATTATTCCCATTTTACAAATAAGGAAATTGTAGAACTAGCTCCTTCCCTTGTGTAACCTTGGACAAATACATCAGATTTGGCAACAGGAAAAACTAAGTTCAAATCCTGCCTCAAAGACTTACAAGCTATGTGACCTGGGGAAATAATTAAACCTCTTTTAAACTCAGTTCTCTCGCATATAAAATGGGCATAATAATACAGTCTCTTGACAATTAGGTGGACAGTAGATAGAGTGCCAGACTTGGAGGGAGGAAGACTCATTTTCTTGAGTTCAAATCTGACCTCAGATAGGTACTAACTGTGTGACCCTGGGTGAGTCACTTAACCTTGTTTGCCTCAGTTTCCTCATCTGTAAAATGAGCTAGAGAAGGAAATGGCAAACCAGTATCTTTGCCAAGAAAACATCCAATGGAATCACGAAGAGTCAGACTCAACTGAAACAACCGAAAAACAACAAACTATTAGTACCTATTTTATACTCTCCACTTTGTAACGATCAAATGAGCCAATATATGTAACACACTTTGCAAATGTTAAAATGCTATATGAATATCAGCTTGTTTTTGTTGTTCTTTGCTTTGTCATTGTTGTTTTTCTTCTTCTTCTTCTTCTTCTTCTTCTTCTTCTTCTTCTTCTTCTTCTTCTTCTTCTTCTTCTTCTTCTTCTTCTTCTTCTTCTTCTTCTTCTTCTTCTTCTTCTATCACCTTCCAGAGGTTCACTTTCTTCATCTGTAAAAAGAGGGGCTTACACTATACCTAAAGTCCCTCTTAGCTCTAAGCCTCTTTTTTAAAAAAAAAATGGTAAAGCATTCTACATTTAGCAGCCAACAGAAGGTAGAAATGTTTGCCATATGAACATCGACTGAAATTCCTGTCATCTACATGCTTTTACTGGCATTTCATTAGTGGCTGAAACGATTGAAAAGCAATAAGCACCTGTGAACTGAATTTATAAATGCATCCTGTGATGTGTAGTCCTTATTCTTAGGAGTACAGCACTACTCAGGCCACTTGTGAGTGCTTGTACTGACACAAAACACATGACAGCCCTGGCATCTCCTGATATAGAAGTATGTATGGTCTAGGTTGCTGTACAAATAACACAGGCCCATATCCAGATATGGACTGGTGGTTTATAGCCAAGGGGTACTGAAAAAAAACCCAGTTATTTTTCCAGCATTGTTGTTTGCAGTCCTCAATGTTTGTACATTGTATCACATGGACGTCATGGTGACATTTTAGCTTATGTATTTAAAGGAGTAGCTATCATAATTTGAATCAGTTTTTTGCTCAAAGAAAAAAAACACACAACATTTTCATGAATTGGGTAAAACCATTAGAAATTTATTACAGAATTGCAAAATTTGCAGAAGTCTGCAAGCATTCTCTAGCCCCATCCCCTTTGTCTAGTATTACAGATTTTTTTTACTGGATGTCCAAATGTACTCTAGAGCAATTAGTAAATGCCATCTGCCCATCTTAGGACTGTCATATTTTTAATATGGATCTACCTTTTCTTAACCTCTCTTGCAGACAATCTGTGAAGTTTGTACAAGTGGCCTTCCCAACATGTACCGCATCTCTCAGCTCACATCTACACCAATAGCAAGTAAATATCTGAGTTCTGCTCAGCACAATTATCTCCTGAAAGATTCCTTGCTTTGATTTTGCTGATACTTGTGCCATTAACCATCTGTCAGTGGTTTGAATTTCTTAAATGCTGGGTATGCTTTGGCAATGAATCTAACTTCATTTCTTTCTTTGAAAGAAATGCAAGTCGTTGGTTGTTGTGGGTGGTTTTTTTTTTTGCTTTCAATGAAAAAAATCATGATTTTTTTTAGATGTCTGTGCATAAAAATGAAAAGGAAGATTGTTTATCAGCAACAATTAAGATGCAAAACTCTAAGCATGGGGAAAATGCTGAATGATTTTGATAGCTACTTGCAAAAACAAGGGCGTTGTTCACATGATGGCTGTTTCAAGTTTCTTTCTTCCTTCCTCTTATTTTTCCCTCAAACCACCCCCAGTTTTGTTCCCTCCAACTTAACCAGGCCTATTTGAGTCTTCAAATTCTCTATGGCATGTTAAACCTTCAAATAAGTTGAGAAAGTTCCACTGACTAGACCTAAAATATACCTCACTGTCACTCTTTTTTTCATTGCTACTTTTACAAATCACTTTATATCTATAAACATACTCTATCTGCAGTCATAGTGGAATGGACATCTTTTGCATAATCAAAACTGGCAAGAATCCCAGAGCTCCTCCAATCCAGTCCTCTGCTTCCAATCTTATAGATTGAAGCCAGTTGACGCCCAAGTTGCCTGAAGTGCAATTAGTAAATACCATCTGCTTTGGTGTGCTTTTTCTCTTTTAAATATAAATCTATCTGTTTAAAAACATTTTTTATAGACAGTCTGTGAAGCTGGTCTTGCCATTGTCCACAAAACTACCACATCCAGGTTCATGAACTCTGAAAACCCCTTATCTTATCACCATCTGTTGTCAGTCCACCGACCCCTTGGTCTTGCAACCCCTAACCTTGTTCTTCATCTCCAATGTGACCTCCAGGTCTTTCAACCCCTCAAGTACTTCCCAGGCCATCACCTACTGTTGATCACTAACTATACTGTCCCAAGTTCCCCATCTTGATCGTATGGTGAACTAGTTCAACTCTACAATGACCATTTCTCTTGAGTCTCTTGCCCCCTTTCCTATCACCAATCTTGCTCTGCCAAGCCTCCATTTTAGATTACTCTTACCATCCACTTCCTTTGCTCTTACTCACATGCTGCTAAATGAAATTGGAGAAAAATCATACAACCATGCAAAAATAATTCACTACAAATCTATGATACATAATCTCAACTGGGCTCCAAGGCAATGTTTTTATACCTTTCTAATTGACTTACCATCTCATCAAACTGGCTTTTCCAAATCTTTTCATCATTTAGCTCTCCCTGCCCCCAGACTCTCAGCTGAGAACCTTTCATATTTTACTAATAAACATGGGGTCATCTGCTGAGAGCTCCCTCTTATCCCATCCTTCTCATCTCACATTACTCAGACACTTCCTTCACCCCTGCCTCACATGAAGAGGTGGCTCCTCTTGCCAAGACAATTCCTGATCCTTGCACAAGTGATCCCATTCCATTCTGTCTCAAAGAATGCTCCCTCTATCATTTCATTTCTCTTATTTATCTGTAATCTCTCCCTGTCTACTGGCTGCTTCTTTACTGCCTACAAATATGTTCATGCCCCTTCATCCTCAAAGAAACCTTCATTTGATCTATCCATCTCTGGAAGTGAGGTAGTACAGGAGAAGAGCTCTGGACCTTGAGTCAGGAAGATCTGAGTTCAAATCTAGCCTTAGACATTAACTGGATGACCTTGGGCAGGTCACTTAACTTCTGTTTGCCTCAGTTTCCTCAACTATAAAATGGGGATAACAGTACCTACTTTCCAGGCTTGTTGTGAGGATCAAAGGAGATATCTTTTTAAAAGTGCCTGACACATAGTAGGCACTTTATAAATGCTACATATGATGATGATGATGATCCCATATCACTCCTGCCTTTTGTGACTAAATTCCTCTTCTCACTCTTTTCTTAACTCTTTGCTGTCTGACTTCCAACTTCATTATTCAACTGCAAGTGCTTTCTCCAAAGTTATTGGTGAACTCTTAATCTCAAAATTTTCTTAATCTTTATCCTTCTTGATCCCTCTGCAGCCTTTGACACTACTGATCACTATCTTGTTGCTATTCTCTTCTCTCTAGGTTTCCATGACACTTCTCCATCCTGGTTTTGACCACTCCCTAGGCTCTTCTTTGGATCTTCACCCAAGTTACCTGCTAGTGCATTGCCCCCAGGGTCCTGTGCCAAGTCTTCTTGTCTTTTTCATTTATGCTCTTTTACCTGATGATCTCATCAGTCCTTATGCACTCAATCATCATCACTATGCTGGTGATTAACAAATATCCAGCCTTAACCTCTCTGCTGACCTCCAGTTTTGCATCTCCAACGGCCTGTTAGACATCTCAAAGTAAATGTCCCCTAGACATCTTAAACTCAACATGCCCCAAACCAAAAACTCATCATCTTTCTCCCAAAACCTTCCTATCTTCTGAACTTCCCTTTTACCGTTGAAGATACCACAATCTTCCCAGTTACTCGGGCTTGCAACCTAGATGTCATCCTTGACTTCTCACTCTCTCACCCCCCGCCCCGTCCTCCCTCGTATCCAATTTGTTGCCAAGTCCATTAGCATTATCTTTCCTATGTGCCCACCTTTTCTCCCCTGACACTGCTACTACCATGGTACAAGCTGTTGTCACCTCATGTCTAAACCATTGTAATAACTTGCTGGTTGATCTCCCCTTCTCAAGTCTCTCCCCACCATCCTACCCTCAGCTGACAAATTGGTCTTCCTTCAGTGAAATCTGATCACGTCAACAAACTCCAATAGCTCCCTATTGCCTCTAAGATCAAATATAAAATTCTCTATTTTGCTTTCAAAGACCTTCATAACTTAGACCCCTGTCCCCAAACTTCCCAGTCCTCTTATACCTTGTTTCCCCTGTAATGGACCTGTCAACACAGTGACACTGGGATTCTTGCTGCTCCTTGAATGAGGCAGGCATTCCATCTCCTGACACTTGACATTTTCAATGACTGTCTTCCATTCTTAGAATTCTCTCCCTCCTCATCTCAGCATTCTGGCTTCTCTGGTTTCCTTCAAGTGTGAGCTAATACTCTACCTTCTGCAAGAAGCCTTTCCCAATCCTTCTAAATTCTTGTGCCTCCTTTCTGTTGATTATTTCATATTTATCTTGCATATAGCTAGTTTGTACATAGTCATTTGAATATTGTCTTCCCCATTACACTATAAGCTCCAGGAGAACAGGGATTACCTTTTGCCTTTTTTGGTATCCCTAGTGCTTAACACAGTGCCTGGCATATAGTTGGCATTTAATAAATGCTTACTGACTGACTAACTTGCTGGTATGTATTACAGAAATGCATGTATGTACACATGTGCATATATACTTATATGCATCCATCTAATTGGCATGGTATGTATGTATATATATATACACACACACATGTATTCTATATATTCACTATATGTGTATAGACATATATATGTGTGTATATATCTGCACATGTACATATATATATATTCATATAGGAAGATAGAGCTTGATTCAAATCCTGCCTTTGATACGTTCCAGTTGTGTGACACCATGGTCACATAACTTCTCAGTGCCCCATAATATTCTCTAAGACTAAAAGTTACAGAGGACTTGTGATCTGTATCTGTGTTCAACATTCAACAAACTTTTTAAAAAAAATTCCAGGCACTGTGATAAGTGCTAGACTTACAAAGACAAAAGGGAAATAATCCCTATTTTCATGTAACTTACTTTCCATTGGGGGAGACAAGAAGTACACATATAATTGTATAGTGATGTCTTAGAAATTCCCAACACTGATGACAACACAGATCCAGATGCATCTATATCAAATTAAACACCCACAAAAACCACTTTTTGTTTTTTGTATTCACAATTGTAATTGCTTATGTTCATGCCACTCTTTATATTGCACTTTCCACCTTGGAAGGTGGGTAATAAAAATATTATTATATTCATTTTACAGATGAAGAAACTCAACTTCTCTCTGAGCTATGAAGCTACTAGCCTGGGCTAGCTTAAGAGGTAGCATAATATTGTAGAGGAAAGAGTTCCTAACCTGAAGTCAGGAGGAAGCTGGGTTTGAATGCTGCTTTTGGCAACCTCTAGTGCCATGACCATGAACAAGTTACTTCATTCATCTCTGGGCTCAGTTTCCTCATCTGTAAAACAGGGATGATCCTAATATTTGTAGTTTTTGCCTCACAGAGTTGTTAGGAGGACTAAATGAGCCAATGTATGTAAAGCAATTTATTTCAATGTCAGTTATTATTATTAGGAGCCTAGAGGAAAATCAGTGTAAGCTCCAGCCCCAACCGTCTCATACAAACAGTTCATTCCCCTTTCCACCATACTACACTCTGTTAGCCACATAAATTATAAGTTACTTATGAAAATAAGAACCCACTTTTCTAAGCTCCATTTTTTTTTATAACAAAGTATCTTCAATTTGCCCTAAGGAAGGGGAATGGGGATCTTTGGCAGACAGTTAAAGTTTGCAAATTATCCAGCAGGCCAAATACACAGGCAGATAAATAAATTAAGCAATAAGCATATGATGAATTTAGGGTCTCCTCTTCTTCTCACAAAATGTGATCCTTCTCTATTTCACAGATCTCTGTTGGGTGGTAATGATTTATTCATGACCCCTCTGGCCCTCATGAATTTATCTCCAAAGGAAAGCTGTACTCTGAAACTAAAGAGTAATAAACCCCAAGAGACAGACAAAACACCCAAGGACATAGTTTATTTCTGGCTGCTGGTTTCCAGATGCCAGGGACAAAACTGCTATTAGAGATTAATTTTTAAACCCTGTCTGACTTAAGTTTGGCTCTGTGGGTGGGACATTAGGCATTTGATTTTTGCCAACCACATGTACAGAGTTTCTACTGTTTAATATGTTTTCCTGTTTAATCAGGCTTGCCGGTTTTTTATTCCCTTTTCTTCTCTCTTGCCTATTTGCCTAGGTTCTCCTGGTCTGGAAAGAGAATCAACTGGAACTCTGTCACCCAGATGCATTTTCCCAAGGTATTCTGGCAGGCTGTAATTTTTTATAGGAAAGGCAATGCAAATTCAAACTTACAGGCCTTGTTCATTTATTACTTTTGCTAATCATTCTAAAGAAAATTTATTTTGAATGATTCACCTATGTTTGGGGAAGGTATATGCCTTATCAGGTTTTCTGGGCCATTCTCTTTCAGATGGTCCCAAGTCAGGCTATGGAATCATGATGAATGGTAGCGGAGGCTTTTAACTTGGTCTATTATGTATCTTTGAGGTAGTGAGCTCCTTGATAATGGAGGTGTTGGGGCATCTAGGAAGTTCAATGGATATAAGGTGCTAGACCTGGAACCAAGAGAACCTGAGTTCAAACCTAGCTTCAGACACTTAATCTCTGATTGCCCCAGTTTCCTCATCTGCAAAATGGAGATAATAATAACATCTGCTAGGGTTATTGTGAGGATCAAATGAGATAATAATTGTAAAACACTTTGCACAGTGCCTCGTACATATCAAATACTATATAATTCATCATTATTTTATCATTATTGTTAATATTATTATTATTAATATTATTATTATTAAAGTATTCAAGCAAAGATCAGGTGACCTATAGTCAGACATGTTTTATAATAGATTCATGCATTCAACTTGGAGTCCAAATCCTTATTTTGTGCTCATGGATAAGATTCAGTTTACTTGTTTGTAAAATGGGGGTAGTTGTACAACATACTTCATCAAGTTGTCATGATGAAAGCATTTTGTAAATTTTAAATCACTGTAGAAATGGGAGCTATTTTTATGGTCTCTGAGACCTTTCTATCTCTAAGATTCTAATATTTCATACTCCGTCATGCTTTGTAAGCTCTTTCAGGATTATTGTTGTTGTTGTGTTGTTTTTCAGTTGTGTCTGATTCTTCATGATCCCATTTGGGGTTTTCTCGGCAAAGATTCTGGAGTGGTTTGCCATTTCCTTCTCCAGACCATTTTACAGATAAAAAACTGAGGTAACCAGAATTAAGTGACTTGCCCAGGGTCACACAGCTAGTAAATGTCTGAGGCCAGATTTGAACTCAGGAAGATCTTCTGACACCAGGCTCAGTGCTCTATCCATTGCACCACCTAACTGCCCCCTTGCTGAGAGTAGAGATTATTATTTTTTTAAATTTTGTCTTTGAATAACCAGCAGCTAGCACAGAGTCCTGTGCATAGTACAGGTGCTTACTAACTGTTTATCAACTTCAAATCTCTTTCGGGTACCTGTACTGTCACATGTTAGTAGCAACTTGAATAATCATCTAAGTCAGAACTCACATTCATATGACACATTATGCTTAAAAGATGTGACATCCTCCAAACAGCCCTGTGAGGTGGGTAGTACAGAGGTAATTTGATAGCCCCCATTTAATGGTAGCTCACATTTATAGAACATTTTAAAGTTCTAAAAAGTACTTCCTTCCAACAATCCTGTGAGGTGGTGGTGTTCAGTCATTTTAGTCATGTCCTACTCTCTGTGACCCGATTTGAGGTTTTCTTGGCAAGGATACTAGGGTGGTTTGCCATTTCCTTCTCCATCTCATTTTACAGAGGAAGAGCCGAGGCAAAACAGGGTTAAGTGACTTGCCCAGAGTCACACAGCTAGTAAGTGTCTGAGGCCATATTTGAACTCAAGTCTTCTTGACTCCAAGCCTGGCACTCTGTCCACTGAGTTACCTAGTTCTTTTGGACAGATGATGACACAGAGCCTCAGAAAAGTTAAATAATGCATTTAAAGTTAGAGCTAGAAAAGGGTGGAGCCTCACTCAATCAATAAACATTTATTGAGTATCTATTATGCTGCACTGTGCTAAGCACTGGGTATACGCAGAGGCAGAAGACAGCTCCCTAAGCTGTCCTCAGGGAGCTTACAATCTAACTTAGACTCGGAGTCTTGTGCTTCTCTGACCTAGCTCTGTTGTGTCCTAGTGGAAGGGGGAGAAGGGAAGATCTGAGGCCCCCATGGAGTGGCCACTTTCAAAGCAACAGGAAACACCCATGTGATAGGGTGCTCAAGTTGAAGAAATTTAGGGTGGGGTAGTATTTGGGGTAGTTGTTGTTTTGTAAGCCTCTTAGAAGGAACCTGCTGAAAAGCATCAGTTAAAAATTCCTCAGATGGTTACAAGTGTATACAAGGCTAGAGTCCAGAGATTCGGGAGCTGGACATAGCAGTGTCTCTTAGGGCTACAGCCCAGTTGAATTGTTTGATCTTCTAGGGAATTAACTTAAAACAACAACAAAACTCAGAAACTGGAACTGCTTACAGCCACAAAACGAAAGAGAATTCTAAAAGCATTACAAAGAAAAGACACCGGGGAGAGGCTAACCTTGAAACTTTGTAAGACGTTAAGACTGGAAATGGAGTACACCCAATGTGGCACGTGCAGTAGACAAGGGGGATGGATGTTGGAAAGACCTAGGTTGAATCCAGGCTCTGATACTTCCTAGCTGTGTGGACAAGTCAATTCATCCCTCTGACTCTCACTTTCCTCAACTGCAAAATGAAGATTTAAAAAATATCTTGTATCTCCTACTTCATACAGTGTATTTATGAATCTTGAATGAGGTAAACATGTAAACTGTTATTGTAACTGAGAAGGCTTTCTGCTATTTTTTAAGCTTTAGTAGCTTTGATAACTTAAAAATCCATAGAGACCTTAGGAAGACCCTGTATAGCGCTCTTAAGGTTTATGAAATACTTCTCTTACAACAATAATTAGGTAGTGCAAGTATTATTGTCCTTTTTTAAAGTAGTACTAATAACCTGGACTTGAACTCAAGACTCCTCTCTCCAAGTCTAGTGCTAAATTTGGATCTGCCTGCTATCATTCAGACCTCAAGAAGTTACCCACTAGAATGCAAAACATCACAACTGCTGAGTACATGGAGCATATTTAACCATTCAGGAAAGTAGCATTGTCCCCAGGCACTGGTACCAGGTCCTCATCACTTCCCAACTGGACTATTGCAAGAGCCAGCTGATCTGGCCTCAAGACCCTCCCCACTCCAGTCTATTCTCCAGTCAGCTGTCAGACTATTCAGTCAACTTAGGTGGCTCTCTATCATCTCCAGGATCAAATATAAAATCCTTTGGCATTTAAAGCCCTTAACAATCTAGTCCTTTCCTAACTTTCAGTCTTCTCATACCTTGCACTGCACTGTGTACCTTGGACTCCAGTAACAATGGTTTCTTTGCAGTTTCTTGAAATTGACACTCCATCTCCCAACTCCAGGAATTTTCTCTGTCTCTCATGCCTGCAAGTTGCCCACTTCTCACTTCTCTGGCTTCCTTCAAGTCTCAACTAAAATCCTACTTTCTGCAAGAAACTTTTTCCTGATTCCCACCTTAAATCTAGTTCTTTCCTTTTGTTGATTATCTCAAATTTACCATATATATATATATATATATATATATATACATATACATACACATACACCTTTTCTTTGTACATAATTGTTTGCATGTTGTATGCCCCATTAGGCATAAAGTCCTTGAAAGCAAGTTCTGAATTGCCTTTCTTTGTATCTCTATAGCACATGGTACATGTTAGGCACTTAATAGATGCTAGCTGACTAACTGACCAATTGACTAACTGACTAGCATTGTATAATTGGAAAGACTAGCACTCAGGCCAAGGCACTCAGAAGACCTGGGCTCTAGTACCCACTATACAACTTTCTTTTGATGTGACCAGTGACAATTCCTTGACCCTCTTTGAGACTAAGTTTGTTTATTTGTAGAAAGGAAATAACAATACCTGTCCACCACACAAATTAGATTGTTTATTTTCAGTTACACCTATACCACCACTAGTATTTACAGAGTCATGGATCTAGAGCATGAGGGAACCTCAGAAAGCAACTAGTCTAACTCTCTCATTTTACATGTGAGGAAACTGAGCTCCAGGGAATTTCAGTAACTTGCCTAAGGTCACCTAGGTCTTAAACATCAGAGGTGGAGCTTGAACCCAGGTCTCCTGACTCTGGAATCAACACTTTTGCCACTCTCATGAAGATCTGATGAGAGGGTAGACCTGGAGTTGAGAGGTATGGCTTCAAATCACAGCTCTGGGGTTTTACAAGCTATGTGCCAATGGTCAAGTCATTTGACTTCTCAGATTCGGTTTGGTCACACGTAAAAGGGACCACTTTTCTAGTAGAACTTGAGGTCAATCAACTTTCATTGTATATATGGCATAGTGGGAGGTGTATTGGACTTGGGGTCAGAAGACTTGGCTTAGATGCTTAGTATTTTTGGTACAAGTCATTTAGTTCCCTTATCTATAAAATTGAATAAGTGGTTTTTACATTGTCAATTTTACAAGGTTATTATAAGGATCATATGAGACTTTGTATATAAAAAGTGCTTTGGAACAGAAAAACACACCAGTTCAAGCTGTTATCACTTTAAGAGGCAGAATTGCATAGTGGATAGAGTTTTGGGACCTGGAAATTTGAAGGCTTGGGTTCATATAATGCCATTGAGTGATGAACCATGTGACTATGAAATCCTCTAGCCTCTCTGAGACTCAGTTTCTTCCTCTGTAAAATGGGAATAGTAGAGTAAAGGATAGAGTACTATGAAAAGAGTCCCTAACTATAGAAAGGGAAAGGTTGCACAAGTGTCCTTTGAGCTATCTCTGTCTGAGAGCAAGAGCAGTTAGAAACTGCTGGTCACAGCAAAGATTCCCCGCAGTTTACCTTGAGGGTAGAAGATGATTAGAAATTACTGGTCAGAACAGGCTAGGGGTCCCAGAGTTTCCCAGGGATTGACAAGTACCAAACAAAAGAGTTTGTGTTTGATCCTAGGTGTTCAGGTTAGAGATGCTAAAGGCTTTCTTTCTCCTTTCTCTCTAGCTCTGCTTGTAGTTTTCTAGATGGTGACACCCCATTGGAATGCTGTTCCACAAATCCCTTGACAGGTTCTCATTTTATTTGCCGCCGAAGCCCCCGGCTCCTCACCAATGGCTATTACATTTTGACAGAGGACAGCTTTCTTTCTGATGAAGATGGCAACATCACTCTGAGTCCTACTCAGACGAGTGTCGTATACAAAGAGAATTTGGTCAGGTAAGTTAGCAATGTCTTATCTGTAGGGCACTGTGACAAGTCTATGACCATCATGGCACAGATGTTCTCTAGTACTTCAATATTTACGATGCAATTCCTTCCAAACAAAAATATTAATCCCATTTTTCAGATGAAGAAAGTAAATCTCAGAAAAGTTGAATGAATTGCACTGGATCACACAGCTAGTTAGAGAGGAAATATGGTGCAAGGTACAGAAAGCTGACTTGTAGCTAGGAAGATCTGATACATGCTGACTTGGCCAAGTCACTTGTGCCCTAGGCCAGTGGTCCACCAAGTGTATGGTGGGGTTTGAAATAAGCTGGGGGGGATGTGGCCTGATCTTCAAGGGTATGTGATTAACCAATGGGAGGATGGTAATATGTGCTGCATCCCACCATCCCCCTTCCCCAGCCAGCTCTAGGCTTGTCTACAAAACAACTGCACATCTTAAACACTCTCCCATTCTGACCCCTCCCACCTCTAACCTTCCATTGCTGTGCTGTGTAGGGTAGGTTTCTTTGAGCAGTTATAACCTACCTTAAGACAAATATCCATAGCACGTTCACAGGCAAAATTCCTTATGGTCCCAACTCTTCCCCTATCATCTCATGGCCAAAGCTGACATAACTCGATGGTGGGCTCTGAATTTTGGGACACTGACTGCTAAGTAAGCCCCTGAAACATTATTTTCATTTTTCAGTAGGGAAGAACAACTAGCGGAGGATGAATAGGCAAGAATAGGATGTGACTACATTAACTCCACCCTTCCCAATGCCACCCCTCTGTGGAGGATACCATAATTTGCCTCATCCCTTAGGTTCACAACCTTGATGCCATCATGACTCCTCAATTTCCCTCATCCCACACATCAGTCAGTTGCCAAATTTTGAAGTTCCTACCTCCCTAACATCACTCATATCCAATCATTTCTCTCCACTTACCTAACCACCATGCTGTGTTAGTTGTTTATTACCTCTCCCTGGACTATTATGATAGCCTCCATCTTGGACTTTCTGCCTCAAGTCTCTCTGCATACCAACATGTTCCCTACTCAGATGCCAAAGTCATTTTCCTAAAGCTTGAGCTGTCTGAGATCAGCCATCATGCTTATGCAGAGCCCCACAGTGATAGAGGAAGAAGAGAGTCTGCAGTTAAGACCATGTTCTAGTAAAGTCACACTTCCTGCAGGGCTCAGGATGCTGGGGCATTTGTCACTATGTCTGGATGTGTCCTCCCCATTCTGTGTGTTCTCAAGGGAGTCATACACCAGCCCAAAGTGGCGTGACACTGAACACACTAGAGGGATGAGTGGTGATGAATCTGCGTCCCCAGGACAACACCAGATGTGTCTTTGACAATAACTTTCTGGGCCTTTCCCTTTTCCCCAGGGTATTTTAGGGTCAAAATTCAAAGGAACCTGATAGTTAAAGGTCAACGATTCTTTGGGAAAAAAAAGGAGTGAAGTTACTGGGGTAGAAAAGTCTGAGCAAAAACAGTAATTGTCTTCAGACATATCACTCAGTCAACAAACATTTACTAAGCACCTACTATGCATCAGGCACTGGACTAAGCTCATGTAAAAGGTTACTGGATGATAAACAGCTCAATAACTTTTTTGTCATTGGAGGTAACAAACATGAGACAGAAAATCTGGGCATTAGGCTTGATGACTGCTTTTTTAAAAAAATGATAATAGTAGCTGGCAGCTAGGTGGCACAATGGATAATTCTGGACTTGGCATCAGGAAGGCCTGAGTTCAAATCATGCCTCAGACATTTGATAGCTTTGTGGCCTTGGGTAAGTCACTTAACTTCTCTTTGCCTCAGTTTCTTCTTCTGTAAAATGGGGATAATAAGAGCATCCATAGTCCATGGTTGTTGAGAGAATAAAATGAGATAATATTTTTAAAGTGGGGCAGCTAGGTGGCGCGGCGGATAGAGTGTCGAGCTTGAAGTCAGGAAGATTCATATTCTTGTATTCAAATTCGGCCTCAGACACTTAGTAGCTATGTGACCCTGGGTAGCTTACTTAACCTTCTTTGCCTCAGTTTCCTCATTTGTAAAATGAACTGGAGAAGGAAATGACAAACCACTCCAGTACCTTTGCCATGACAACTCCAAATGGGGTCACAAAGAGTTGGACATGACTAAACAACAACAAGAAATTTACAAAGTGCTTCGCAAACCTATAAATGTTAGCTATCTTCATTATTTATGTAAAGTTTACAAAAAGTTTTATAAACATCAGCTCATTTATGTCATGTTTATCAAGCATGAATTACAATTGCCATCCCCCCCATTTTACAGATGAGGAAACTGATGTTCAATGATTACTAGTCATCCCCTTTGTGTTAGAGGTAGGATTTGAGTCTAACCTTTCCTGGCTCCAAGACCAGACATCTTTTCCGTGGACCATCCTGCCTCTCTACTCAGTCACACAACCAGTCAATCAGTTCAGTTTAGGATTCTAGAGAGCAGAAATCTGAGTCCCTTTATGGCAAGGCTTGCTAGATTTTGTAGTATTGAAGGCAGAATGGTATCATGGGAAGAACTCTGGGCTAAGAGTCAGGAGACCTTAGTTCTAATTCTGATTCTTCTGCTACCTATATTTTGCCCTGGGTAATCAATCTATCAGTCAAGAAACCAATATACATTTATTAAGCAGCTACTGTGTGCCAAGCACTATGCTAAGCACTGGGGATACAAAAAGAGGCAAAAGACAGTCCCTTCAAGAAGCTTGCAATCACTTTACTTCCTGGGTCTCAGAGGCTGCACCACATGATTGCTAAGATTCTCTAAGTTCTAAACATTATGAATTGGTTATAAAAGAAGGATGAACAATTGCTATCTATTATAATCTTTATAAACAGCATTAGCTCTCATATGTCTTGTTTCATTAAATGAAGGGATTCAATTGAAACTTGAAAGAGATAACCTTCGAACAAATAAGGAGAAATATTACTTTATTCTCTGAAAAGTAAAATTTATAAAGCCTATTACCTCTGGAAAGTGTCATAGCTTGAAAATATGAAGAGATTCAGGAAGGGTTCAGATTAATTACTGAATCATAGAATTTTAGTACCAGAAAGAAGCTTAGAGATTTAATACAACCTTCTTACAGAGGAGAGATCCATAAAAAAGGAATTAAGTCTGTTTTAGGGTCCATTTAAATTCAAATTCAAAATCAACATGCATTAAGACCCTATGGTTTGTGAGGCCCTGAACCAGCTGCTGGGAATTTTTTTTAAATTTTTTCTTTTTTAGAGCTAGACCTGTTATTTCATTGTTGTAGGCACTTTCTACTGAGGAAATTCCTGCCACCAATTCAGTCCCAAAACTATTCTGAAAGTCATAGATTTAGAGAGTTAGAGGTAGATGTTAGTCACGTGGACAGTGCATGTCAGAAGTGGACTTGAACTCAGGTCTTCCTGACTCCAGAGTGAACTCACTACCCACAAATTCTCTGGCACTGAGGATGAAGAGCTCCCTTCCGTCAAAAAGCTTATTGTGGGAAATAGAACACAAATTTGACAAGGGAGAAACCATTTATAATTGGGAGAACCACGTAGAGAAAGTCTGGGGAGTAAGTAGCCCCTTACGTGAGCATCATGGGATGATAAGAATTCTGAGATCAGAGATGAGATAGACGTGCATTTAAGGTATGAAGAATGGCTTCTGGGAATGTGTGGAAGTAGAAGGTGCTAGTCAACTTTGGACTGGAATAGAAGAGTATCTGATGGGGAGTAATATGAAATATAATTGGAAAGGCAAGTTGGAATCAGACTACAGAAAGAGAAAGGAGTTAAATGCCAGGCTGGGGAGTTTTAATTTTATCTTCTGGTGATGGGAGTCACTGAAGGCTTTAGAGGAAGGGAGTAATGTGCTCAGACTAGCAGCATAAGAACATTGCTTTGGCAGCTGTATAGAGTTTGGATTGGAGAGAAGAGAGACTCAAGGGATAGAGTCAACTTCTGAAGGTATTGCAGTAGCCTGGCTGAGAAGTGATAAGAAACTGAACTGGGGGGGTTTATATGAGTGGTAGAGAAAGGGACACGTGCAAGGAATGTTGTGAAGCTAGAATTAATAAGGCTTGAGTACTAATTAGGTAAAAAAGGGGAGGGGTGAAGGGAAGGAAAAACAGGCATAATTCTGATGTTGTGAACCAGGGTAACTGGTACCATGGTGATATCCTCAACAGAAGTAGGTAAGTTTGGAGGATGGGTAGATTTTTATTTTGATGGGGGGGTGAGTTCTATTTTGGATATCTTAAGTATGAAATTCCTGTGGAAACAACCAGGGACAGATACCTGGCTAACAATATGTGACTAGAGTTTGGCAGAGAGATTAGGGCTGGATGTTATTGTTGATATTGTTATCGAGTTGTTTCAGTTATGTCCGACTCTTCATGACCTCATTTTTTTTTTTGCAAAGATACTGCAGTAGTTTGCCATTTCCTTCTCCTCCTTTTACAGATGAGGAAACAGGCAAACAGGATTAAGTGACTTGCCCAGGGTCACACAGCTAGTAAGTGTCTGAGGCCAGATTTGAACTCAAGAAAATAATTCTTCCTGACTCCAGGACTGGCACTCTATCCACTGTGCCACCTACCTGCCTCAATAGGGCTGAATATTAAGATATAGAAATCATTTCTTGATTTTCTAGCTAAGTAGAGAAACAGCCACCAAGGCAACACTAGTTTAGTTAACAAATAGTCAATAAATATTTATTAAGTATTTAGTATATGCTAGGCACCATGCATGGGGAGAAGAGGAACCAGAAAAGGTACTCAACTAAGAGGTGATGGAAAAGTCAGAGAAGTCCCAAAGTGGTGCAATCAGGTGAGAAATGAGGACATCTGAGCTGATCTCTCTCCTTAAATGAAGGTTTTGTAGTTCAAGGCTCCCATCCTCTAATCAGAGATCAGTGATGACAAGGAGTTCCAAGGCTGATAAGATCTTGTAGGATGATGAGATTTTCCCAATAATAAGCTTCCTGGGGCAT